GGGGGGGGGGGGGGTGATGACAAGTGAATGGTGTGGACACCGATGGTCACGGTGTGGTGTCATCGCCATCCCCGTCATCCACGAGCAACGTCTGCGAAGTGCTGCTACACATTTCCGATCTGAATCGTCGGGAACTTCGCGTCGCTCATACATAGCCCTGTGCGCAGGCTCGGCAAGTTTTATTATACCCTCCTCGGGGGTAAGAGGTGGCAAGAGAGGTGAGGGACTAGACAGAGAGAGCGAAACGGATAGAAAAGGACGGGACGAGGACAGGAGTGCCCTGCCGATGGACAAAAGGTAGGCTCTTGAGTCTATCTACAAGGCCACACTCGTCTACTGTTTTTTGTAGTCTCTGGATCCGCAGGCCACTCGTACAGAGCCGATCGCCACTTCTTCCACGAGCGATACATGGGGACTGACTGAGGTGACGGACCTTTGGCACTTGCCCTCCCTCCCGTCGCACTTGATCTTGCGCATCGTGCACCTGTCGCATGAGGNCCCCCCCCCCCCGCAACAACAGCAGCATTCCGGCTGTTGCTACTGCTGCTACTGCCGCTGCCGCCGCCGCCGCTGCTGCTGCCGCCACCGCTGCCGCTGCCAACCGAGGAAGAAGACCGGGAGGCGGTGGAGGAAGAAGGCCGTGAGGCCGCCGCCGCCGCCACCGCCGCTGGCCTGGAGCTCGCCGGTTTGGGGCTCGCCAGCTTGGGGCTCACCGGCTTCGGGCCCGCGGGCTTGGAGCCCGCCTCCCTCCCCCGCCCGTTCTCGCTCGACCCACTCCGCTCGGTAGTGCACTTCTTTGAAGACACCGCCCCCCCCGCGGAGGGCCTCGGCGTTCCGGCCGCCTCCTGCAGCTCCTGTGACAGCAGCAGCAGGTTCAGCCCCTGGGATGGGGACCTGAGGGGAAGCTGTTCCACCGGCACTTCGCCCCCCCCGCCTGCGGCCGCTGCTGTTGCCACCGTCGCCCCCGTTCCAGTCGCTCCGGCATCCATGGGCAGGGGCGCGGGAGCGGCCGCGGCGCCGGCTTCCACCGCCTCTGAAGCCGCGACCGCGGCTTGGTCTTGCGAGAAAGCGGCCAGGAGCATGGACGGGGGAATGAGGGGCTTCCCTTCGGCGCCGTTGCCAGCGGCCGCCTCAGCCGCCACGTCACCGATGGCGGCAATATCCTCGAGCTGCTGCTGCTCGCCACCGGCACCGGCCGCGGACGGCTCCGCCGCGCGGTGCTCTTGTTCTTGGCTGGCCTGCCCTAGCATGGAGACCTGGGGGGCGAGGGGGAGGGCTGAGGGTTGCAAGAAAGGTAGGCCTTTCTGCTGCGGCTGCTGCTGCTGCTGCTGCTGCTGCTGCTGCGAGGACGGCTGTGACTCTGGCACTGCTGACGCTGCCGCCGCTGCCACTGCCGGTAGCTGTCGCGGTTGCTGCTTCTTCTGGCTTCCCACATACACATGACCACCCCCCCCCGCGCCNNNNCCCCCCCCGCGCCGCCCCCGCCGTAGGCTGCCGGCAACAAGCCCAGCGCAGCGAGCTGGAAGCGAGGACTAGCGGAAGCCAGCTGCGCAAGAGCCAGAGGCGTCAGCCCGCCGCCACCGCCGGGGTCACCCCCGATGACCCCCCTCGCGCCCATCCCTCCCCCAGACGCCGGGGCGGCCGTCGCGCCCCCCGGCCCGTCTGCTGCCGCGGCCCCCGCCCCCGCCGCCGCCGCCGGCTTCGCGGCAAGATTCGACCCCGTCGCCGAGGGCACGGCGGCGGCGGCACCGCCTCCCGACCCCGGGGCGCGGAACGCCGTCAGAGCGTGCGCAGCAAGCGCTCGGGGGGATTCTCCGATACCGCGGACACTGCCTCCTGTTGAGGAGACTCCGCTGCGCCCTACCGCCGCCGCCGCCGCCGCTGTAGCTGCGTCTGCGGCTCCTGCCTCGGGATTATTAGCAGACGGCGGCACAGCAGAGCCGGAAGCACTTGATGCTGTCGCCGGCGGGGGGGTGGAGAGGGCGGCGACGGCGGCCGCCGCCGCCGCTACCGCGGCCAGGGGGGAGCCCGCGAAGCGCAAGTGGGGGGCCGGGGCGATCTCTGTGTGCGGCGCGCGACCTGCCCTGCCGCCCGTGCCGCTGCCGCCGCCGCCGCGCTGGGAAAAAAACGGCAATTGTATCCCCGTTGATCAAGGTTAGCTGGTTTCGTGATCGATTGAAATGATCCGTGATGGGGGAGGGGGCAAGCGTGAAAGGAAGGCGGGGAGAGTTATTACTCCAAGCGGGCCGGCGGGGTAAGGCCACCGGGTAATCGCAGATTGAAAATGCCAACCTCAAATCAGTGGCAAGGTGCGCCAGAGAGCCCAAGAGGCGAGGCGGGAGCCGTCAGAACGAGCACGGTAAGACACCGCGCAACAAACCACCGGTCTCTTGGAGCGAGAACGGATCCCCCGTGTTCACGGTGCACTCCACGAGACGGGGACAACAAACCGACTCTTTCTAAGACCAACCCGAAGAGACAAAAGCGAGACTCGCCGAAGCGTGAATATCATACAGCAACTGATAGAGTTGTGAATCGGTACGAAAAAACGATATATTTTACATCGGCTGCGCAGCAGCCGATATAACGATATTTTCTCCGATATATCGCCTACGGCGATATATCGGAGAAAATATCGGGCGAGCGCAGCGAGCCGTGATGGGGGCGAGCGAAGCGAGCCCCCCCATCGGCCCCCCCCGGCTGGTGAGGGGGCCTCGCCGGAGGCGCCGCCGGAGGCAGAAAATTTGGTGCATTTTCCTTTCATTTCCCGTCAAAATGGGCCCAAATGCGGCATCAAAAAGGGCTTGACTTCAGCTGCAAACATCGCACGGAATGTAGAAAAAAAAAAAAAAGATTAAGATTGATGTATTGTCGCGTATCCTCAGCAGTACCCTCCTTCGGTCTCTCCCTGTGTCTACTTCCCGGTTGGTTCTGGACATGGTGCTGTTGTCTGCTGTTTCTGCGCTGCTGTGCTGTGTGTGTGTGGCGTACAGGGGCTCCGTACTGCTGCGCATACCCTAAATTTGATTCACGGAGCCCCTAAGAAAACATCGGTCGGAACATCGGCACGAATTTTCGATACCGATATCGATATATATCGGACGATATATATCGTGTACATCGTTCCGATTCACAACTCTAGCAACTGACGTCCGCCCCTATCCACTGCATTGAAACCCCGAGTCTGTTCGTGAGATCAAGTCGGCTCCAGTGGCAGCGTTTACACCCTGCCCTTGGGGTCAATGGCTCGTACACACATCCCGGCGAAACGAGAGCTCGGGAAAAAAAAAAAAAAACTCCTGCGTCCAGCTGTTCACCTTTGGCCCGGACTTCAGCCTCGCGCTGTACCTGCAGATCGCGAACTGGGCGGCGCACGTGCCGCAGGTAGGCCGCACAGAGTCGCACCTTGTCTTCCGCGCGGTGCAAACGTCGCACGCCTTCCGCGGCTTCGCCTTCTACGGCGCCAATGATACAAGAGCGCGCGGGCGCAGGGGCGGGGGCGGGGGGCGGGGGGATGGGATGGTATCATAAAGAACCCACTGTAATATATAGTAGTTTTCTAGTATGTGTCATTCTTGGATGATGCGCATACCTTGCGTTACCCCGGCTGGTGCTTCGAATACGTACAATACCCAAAGCTGCAGACGGGCGCCCAGAACAGGTGGGATGAAGAACACAGGCTAGAGGGAGTATGGGGGGAGAGAGGCACTGAAGCATCACCCGATCTCCACAAAAAAACACTGCCCAACAAAAAAGGCGGACGAGGAAACATCCCGCACTTGAAGAAGAGGAGAGGAGGGTGACGATGGACAAACAAATATCACCCATCCACGCAAAAAACAAAAAAACGCAAGGAAAGGAAAGCACCACAGCACGCGGCATGCGGATCCTTCCGACCCACCCATTGCGTTGTCTCAGTAACAATGACCGTGGGTACTGTGGCTGCTTGCTTGCCGTAGCTCACCGCTATCATGCCGCCCGCGGCGTGCCGAGAGCAGCACGTCGGGGAAGGCGACGCGGGGAGGGCGAACCGGGCGAAGTCCTTGCATTCGGGTGCTTCGCAAGACTCCAGGTCGTTCCCCGGCGAGCTGTTGAAGGTACAGCAGTAGATAACATGGTCGGGTCAACACCATTCACGACGATCACGCAAGAGCGCGCGCGTGACCATGAGGCGGCAGCAGGCAGCAGGGTTGGGTGGTCCCAGGTCGAGAAGACGGTGGCGTACATTTCGGGTGGAGGCTAATCCCGGCACCCTGCCCCCCCCCACCCCCCAGTCGGCCAGCCGGCTAGCGTGATCGATGCCTACATAACCAACACGAACCCGTTACAGGCACACACGAGTCTTTAGGCAGGAGGAGGGGGAGAAGAAAATATGGAGCGACGATGGAGGTGGTGTGGTGTACAACTGAAACACAAAACCAAGAGCCGCATGCATATCTACTGTTTCGTTACTTTTCCCTGCCCCATGTATCCCAAGTCCCCCCCTCGGTGTTTGCCATCGCCATCGGGATTGGGTTTACGTCGCTTGGCAACGACGTTGTAAAACAAGCCAATTCACTTCGTGAACTCGACAGCCAGGTTACCGTTCTTTTTTCTTTGCCGCTGCTTTTTTTGTTGGTGGTAACCATAATGGTGGTCGAGTAGATCATGTTGTGCGGGGTCGAGAACCCTCACTCCGCGCAAGGGGGATGATCGCACCACGTTGTGTTAAAATGGTCACGCATCCTCGAGGCAGTCACGCAGTGCTTACAGTGCTTACAACTCTCTCTGGAAGTGAAAGCACCAGAAAATAAATGAAGTCATACGCAGCTGTCATCCGTACGCAACGAAGTAAGCACAAGATGCCGAACACCCTTAGCAGGATGCAGCGCACCCTTCATGCGACTCGCCGAATACCTCACGGCGCTTTGCGCTTGGTGATGTGAGAGCCTGGTCCGGTGAGAACCCGGCGTGCTCCGTCCCGGCTTTGTAGGGATGCGAGGTCAATGGTCTAACGACACGGCATGCACGACTATGAGCACACACACCCCCATGTACCCCACCTAGTCTGCTGCGTCTCTGGCCGCTATAATTATTAATGATCATTATTAATAGTCGGTAGGTTCTTCAGAGCATGTCGGTGGTTCTTTTTACAAATCTGGATCTATTCCTCGATTTTCTTGTTGGCCACTGGTAACTTCGACGATGGCCACGGAATCCGTCGATGCTCCGCCTTTGAACAGCCCGGGCGAGAGCAAAAATGGCAGTACTTCTACCCTTTGGTACAATGCACATTTACATGGTCTTGGAAGGACTAGACAAACAACACCACCACCACCAACAACAACAACAACAACAACAACACACCCCAAATCAAGTGAGCCCGCGCTCATCGATCCCATGGGTACAATGGACAGCCGTAGGCGCGGTCGTTGTATAGGGCGGGTTATGTAAGGCGGGTGGCCGGGATAGCACGGGTGAAAGAAGATCGAATAATCACGTTGTTGTTCGTAGTTGAATAGGACGAAAACCCACTACAGCGCTGAAGGAGGGTGGGTGAGTCAGCCTGGAACATAAACGCCGTATCGACGCACAGCTGCACATACAGTACTGTACAACACAAAAGGGCCAAAACCCACGATCGCTTGGGTGAATTACCCCAACATATACGTTACCGCCGCACAAAGGTGAATACATAAGTGTAAAACAGGACTCGTGACACCACCTGCCGCGCATAGGTCATCCCTTCAGCCCTTACCATACGGCCAAAAAACACACAAAAAAAATTCCCCTCCCAACATTTTGTAAGCAACAAGGACAGCAATCTTCCCCGCCAAGACAGCGACAAGAAAGAAACACGAACCGGTCTGCCGGCGATGCTTTCCTCAGCTTTTTCGCGAACGTTCCTTTGCCCTCGATCATGGGAGAACCCCGACTTCCTCCTCCCCCCGCCGCCGCCGCGCCGTTCCCTTTTACAGCGGCCGCCACCGCCGCCGCCGCCCCCGCCGCCGCCCCCGCTCCATCCGCGTGCCTCGTGTACAAGCTGTGTGTAGACATGGCATGGTCGAACGTCCGCTTCCCCCTCTGCCCAGCTGCCGTAGTAGTAGGGGAGGGGCGGCCGGGGCAGCCAGCTGCCTCCCACTCCTTCAGAAACCGCGCGCTCAGGGCGGACGCGGTGGCAGCTGCATCGGCGCCGGCCGCCGCTGCTGACGTCGCCGCCGCCCCCGCCCCCTCGGACACCGCCGGGAGGTCAGGGACTGTCACCTATTCTCCATGCATGAGCGCGACGATCAGTATCTTTTCGACAAACGAGATTGTATCCCATGCTGCTGCTGCTGATGGCGAGCTAACATACGCTTTCAACCAACCGAGAGCGCTTGCGGACTGACACAGCAGTTTCATGGTGGAGGGAGAGGTGCAAAACGAGGTGAAGGCACGGCAGCTACACCAGAGTCAGGACGGGCCCGAGGCAATACGGTTCGTTCCGCGACATTTAGACCCTGTACGTACGTATAGGTGGATCGATACACTTGGTTGCGGAGTGTTGTCGTGTTTCACATGGGGAAACACATAATCCGGGAATATAGTCCGATGCGTAGTCTACACAACAGCCGGTGACTGTGGGCTTGGGACGATAGAGGTCCTCGCACTCGTGTTTAAGAGGAACGTGGTTGATCTACGACGGGGCACGAAAGCGCCTATAGCGGTTTGCACACGTTTTCTGCAAGTTGGTTGTTACAGGGAAACGAGATGAGCCGAGAAGTAGCATCTCGGGTCAGAAACGTGCGAGGAAATGCTCCGACGTTGACGTACAAAAAATTCAAGGCAAACGCGGTTGTACCTGGCGACTCTAGTGAACACCTGGGAAAGCCCCAAGCCCGTTATGGCTCACGCCTGTGACTCACCCTGTTAGTGGAGATCATCCACTGCAGCAGGGCGCCCAGGTTCCCCTGTAAGCCGCCGTTTCCCGCCATGGTATAGGAGACCTCTCGGTTGGTTTGATGGAAAATTTTTTAAGCCGGCACAACTCGGCGTCGTTGTGTAGTTGAGGAGATATCAACGGCAGATCAGGACGTGGTATCAGCTGTCAAGAGAGAGACAGGGAGAGCGAGAGCGAGAGCGAGAGAGCGGGGGCGAGAGGACCCTGCAGGGTTTCTCCACTTGGGGCGTGATTCACCCTCGCAGAGGTTGCTCAAGTTGCCGCAAATCCGCCCCAGCTGCTGCTACTGCAGTCAGCTTCTTTCTTGAGCGTTTGCCAGCAGAACGGCTGCGAACGAACGTGTATTATGCCGAAAGCCTCGATTTGACCACCCGAAGGCCTCTGGATTCGTGACCAGCGGCGGTGAGTGCCGGTGAGGATAACACGTCAGTGGATCTCCGCTTCCCTGCAGTGAGAGCCCAATCTCCACGCCCCATCAACGGTGACACGTGGGGTTCCTGTGGTGGGCGTGTGTCTCCAGCCAGGCTCTTCAGAGATCTACCGGGGGGTGACGCAGAATAATAGGCAGCGAACCTGCGTGCACGCCTCCAGAACCTGTCCATCACCCCGAGATCATGGAAATCCACAAGGCACACGGCCACCGCTTCCTCTGTGCCATGCAGACGGAAGGAGCCTCTCCAGTGCCAGCAGGGCACAGCCAGTAGCAGCATGAAGGCTCCGGCTGCTTCTTTCCTTGTGAAAGTGTTGCTTGCTTGTCCGTTGTTACTTGGGAGAGCGTGCGCCCATGTACGACATCAAGCTAGCGAGGCACGGCGCCGATACATATCCTGTCGCGCGGCGGAGATCGGAGCGGAGATCCATATTCTAGCTAGAGACACGTGTACATGTTCACGGGGAGGATACCATGGCTAATGGTCAAGTGGTAGACGAAAATGCCGCTCTTTTTGGCGCTGGCGAAGCAAGACTTGACGATGAAACGACTACCTTGACCGCCGCCGGCGGTCCAGGTCTGTCTGGTAGATCCACAGGTTCAGTTGAGCGTACCATTGGTACCAGTAGTCTATAGACTACCAGGCGTTCAAGCCCGTCCATATAGATCTCCACAGGTGGTGCGATGTAAGCGTATGCCATTGAGTTTGTGGACCTGTCTCATGTATTTTATTGGTCGGACACATCATCGTGTTCGTATCCCGTGAACGTTGTTACTGCCAAACCTAAGCAACTCTCAAACTCCGTCGCTTCGTCTCCCGACACGCTTACGCCGTACCACCCCACCCATTGCTTCAACTCCACACATCAACTCCAACGGCGTAGAACTCTACATGGGGGTGCAAGCGACAGCGGAACCCAACACGTGTATCCACAATGTCTTCGAGAAATAGCGGACATCGAGAGCACGCCCATCAAATAGGCCGCACTCGAGCAGTTCCCCGGGAACCGAGGGAAGCATACTGGGTGTATGCAACTGTAGGATCTTTAGTTAGAGGAACTCTTGAACATGACAGGGACTAGAGAGATTGAAGCATTTTGAACTTCTCATGTCCGTGGCACGAGGAGAACACCGTGGTGGCAGGGACTTCAAATCCCAGCGGCACTCCCTTTGATTCCGACACCATTCATCCGTCGTTTGGACATCGTCGTGTCGCGCGTCGCCATGTCGGCACATTCGTTTTCGTCCCGGTGTGCCTTGCGTGCGGTTCGCTTGCCGCCATCAGCGCTCCGATAAACTCACCATGTTGCCTACGCCGGCAGCTGCTGGCATGTATGCATTCCAGGCGCGAAGGATGAGGCTGGAGTTGGACGAAAGCACACCACCAGCCGTAGCAGCGAGGTACTACTACAATACTGCAGTCCGTTGAAGACAGAAGAACCCGTGCACCACGGCCTTCGTTGGTTAATCGGGGACGGCATCCTGCCGTCTCTTACGCTCACATGCGCAAAACCTTGTCCAACCACATCCGCACACATTCCGAAAAAAACAGTTGTGGTCATCAGGCGCCCATGGCGCACGCTGATTTTTCTACGGCTGAGACTTATCACTGGTGGTACAGAGATACCCTTCCAATGTACCCTTCCATGTCTATGCATTGCAACACATAGATGACGCTTCATGTACCTCCGCGTGACCTAGTGTACGCAGAAGCGCATCCGATGAACCCTTACCCGCCAACAAGCAGTACTACCGTCTCCGTGGCACGAACGGCGAAGGTACCATGTTTGGAAGATATGGGCGGTGTTTGACGCAGTCAGCCGGCGAACAAATAGCGTAGGCCTACGCAGATGCACCGGCATGTTGTCCATACCACAGTAGTAGCCAATGGGGGGGCATGAAGTCATAAAGAGTTTTCTTGTAGAAGTTGATTTGCCAGAACATAAGCAACAAATGCGTTGCAAGCTGCTTTCTTCGATAAATACAATCGATCGACTCCAAACAAACATTAAATATTTATGCGAAACAGAGGCGTGGGGCGCGCATCGCCTCACACCAACATGGGAACGACCAAAAAATGGCAAATCAACTCTATGTAGAAATTCAAACAAAGCAGCAGCTCGTTGCCTAGTTTCTAGCACACCAGAGGCAATGCCCTGAGAATCTAACGGCGGCTGATTTGCGGTTAGCAAAAAACTCTCCAACCCCACCGAGGAACCATTCCTCTCTGCTGTACATCCGCTTCATTCGTTGCACCGCCAAATCAGCCGCCAGTCAGTGAACTCCGTCGTCTACAACACTTCCGGTCGAGCTTCATCACCAACACTTCGTACTCTATCTTACCGCCTCGGTCTATCATTCGCTCCTCTAAAACTCCTCAAAATCCCCATTCTTTTCCCTCTCACCCGCATCCTTAACGTCAGCGCCTCGTTCCTGCCTCTCCTACCTCCCGGCCTCAAGTCTAACCCTGCGGCGACCCCCACCCCGGCATCATCGGCCTTTCCCACGGGCAAGCCCCCATTGATTCTGCCACTTCTATCCCCAGCACCTGTCGTACGGATGCGCTGTAGTTTCTTCTGCTGTTCCCTTCTTTTCAAGGAAAACTCTCTCATGCGCCGCCGCTTTCTCTCCAGCCCGCCCTCCTGCACGCCGCGCTCCATCTCTGACTTCTCCGAAGTAAGGTCGTTCGCCAGCAGCCACCCCATCCCGAGCGTCTTCTCCCCGCTTTTCGTCGCCGCCGCCACCGCAGCCGCGGTGCACCCCTCCCCGTTGACGACGCCCTTGGGAAACTCCACGCCACTCAGGTAGTTCTTGGAAACCTGGACGGCGTTCCGCGACTCTCTCGGGCCGCCGGTCACCGCGGAGCCCCCTCCCCTGCCGTCCTCCCAGGAGGAAAACAAACCCAGGCGCTCTCGAACCACCGCCTCCTGCATCTCGGCCACGGCGGCCGGGGGCGGTAGGCCAGGATCCCCTTGTTGTTGGTGTCGCCGCTGTCGTCGTCGTCTTCTGGGGCGTCTGCGTCGCCGGCGTTGGTTCCACTCGAAACCGCCACCAGCCGTCGTCGGCACTGGCATCAGGGAGGGCACGTCCGTCTTGGTAGACTCTCGGAGCGGGATCCCGGAGTCGACCATCGCCATGAGCACGCGGTGGCCCTTGCGTGTTCCCGAGAGAGATTTGGGGGGTGGCAGTGGCATGATGCCCCGGGCACGGGCCGGAGACGGGGATAGCCGGGGGGGGGGCAGCTGAGCTGTTGATGGTTTCAGGCAAAACACCACGTTTCAAGAAAAAAATTGAGGAGAAAACGAACCCGTCTTTGAGACTCATCATGACGCATCCACTCAACGCTTGTGCACATCGGTGCTGACGAATATCACTCTTCGACCCCATGAAAAACCAATTTTGCAATGCTATCCGGAATAATGAAGAAACGCCGCCCTATCTTAGTAAAACAGAGAAGCCACAAAATACTTGTTGACACTTGGAAGGGATATATGTAAGAGTGTTCCACGCGCTCGTGCGGTGCCGTGCCCACCAAGCTTTAGCTAGAAGGCATCAATCATTTGTCAGAAAGGGGACGTCACCCATTACACGCATGCTTCAGCTTCACAGCGCCCATAGATAACCGCCAGACAAGTTATAGCTCAGGTATGCAGCAACACCCGTGGTGAGAAAAGAGTGGGCTGCCAGCCTACGATTCCTGGGCCGCGCTAGGAGCGCAAAATGCTGTAACAGATTCACCAAACATCGCCAAACATCGAACCGGCAATCATTGCTGTGTGATTGTATGTGTAGGTATCTGTGATTGATTTGAGTGTTGTGTGTGTTGTAATCGTCCTATATACTATGGCGACAGCCCCCCCAATTGTCGTGGTGAGATGTGTACTACACTTTTCAGTGTATGCAGAATTCTATTTTTTTCAGCGTATTTTTTCGTACAAGTACAACAATCCAGGTTCACACAGCAGGGCGTAAACACCGGTCCTTTTTTCTTGTTTTCATTTTTTTGTGCCCCATCTTCCTGATACGGTATTGTATAGCACAAAAAACACATCGTCAGCTATGTATACGGCGAACAAGGGTTATCGTCCAAGGGCACTTTACCGCACCTCGTTGATCATCCCCGCTCTCCCCAACGCCTCCGCGGCCAGGCACCAGCACCGGCGATCCGGGGGGCCGCCGCTGAGCTCCGCCCCCTTACCCTCCCCCTCGGTGGTGATCGTAGACGACATCTTCTGCAACGCTTTCGGCTCCGCAGCCTGACGGCCGATCACCTCTAATGCAGTGCGGCCGTCGCTAACCTCGACGCACGCCTTCAGCACGCACTCGTACACCTGGTTCGAGTTGAGGGAGGACCCGTGGGCAACGAACGGCTCGTTATTCCTTACCCGGCAGGCACGGGAGCACGTCAAAAGCAGGCGCGTGGCGTACCAACTCTTTCCAGCCCACCCCCTTCAAGATGTTGCGACCAAGTTGGGGCTCCAAGAGGACGCTGGGAGCGAGGGTGGGTGCTCGCCAAGGGCAGGCTACGAACCTTTGCGCCGCGCAAGACTGGTGCAAGCTATTTGGACGATGTAAGCGCAGTACACAGCAACAGGCAGCCGAAACTACACCCAAGCCGCACCGTCGCAACCTTCACGCGGGACCTCCCCCCCCCCGAGTAAAAGTTCCTAACAAGCCAACCAGAAAAAACTGCAACTCCATAGATAGTACATAACCCGGCCCTCTAGCCTTCGTAATAATCTCACCCGATACTTCACCGGTCCCGCTTCACCGCCCTCCCGCCCAACCACGAACCCCTCCTGGTAGGCTTCGATCGCCCTCTCCCACATGGACGCCTGCGCGTAGGCCTCCACCAACGGCGCGTAGCAGTCCGAGCTCAACATCCTGGGCCGATGTTGCTCACCCCCCCCCCCCCC